CCATTCGTAACGAACATTCAGGAAGTAAAGTTTTAAGATTAAATTTTTACAAGCTATTTCAAAACTAGCGTGAAAAAATATATACCGTTTCAAAAGAACAAAATAAATTTATATTTTATAATAAACGTATTTTTAATCTTCTTATTTTACCTTTTTTCTAATTCCTTTCTATCTCCAATATTAAAGTTTACTTAATTTAATATTATTTACTTTAATTATTTCATTTATTTATACATACATATATATTAAGTGGTGTTTACAGTATATTTTCATTTACTACATTTTTTTTTTAGGTTTACCATTAGATTTTAAACCGTTGGAAAATTCACTGCTGTGATAACTTACGTGTAATGCACACCTTCGTTTGGGTAATCCTGTAGAAGCCCGCATCGAATTAACGGCAAATAATTTCGCGCGCTTCGCTTGCGTGGGCTTGTAATTTACGCGAGCAGACGACGCGAATTTATTAAAGTCGAATTTCTCTAAATTTTAAAGAAAATTTTCTTTGCAGTAGAAAGCACTCTTAATTTTTACGTTTTTATTCTTGCGCGTGTCTAGTCTTAATAAATAATAAGGTCTAGGTATATCTATTAACCTTTTGTTCTTCTGGTTTATCTAAAGATCTGGTTTTTATTCGTTCTACCTAATTTTTAATTAAAAAAAATCCATTTAACACAAAAAAATTATTTATTATTATTAAATATTATTAATAATTATTAAAATCATTAATATTTTTTTATCCGCTAATGGCAAAACTCATTATTTAAAATGCAAAGAAAATTTGTTCTGAAACTTTCTAAAGCTAGAAAATTCAAGTATAACAAATAGTATATGTATCTAATTTCTAATTAAGATTTCTAATTTAGATTTTCCTTAGTTAAAGATAACATAATAATTAATGTAAATAACTTTGAATAAAAAATACAGATGCATTTAATATATATATGACAGTTGTTTTCAAATTTTTTAGCAGTTATAACATCAATATCGTCGATAATAATGCGCGAAAATTAATTCATTTAGTATCCCGCCTTTATACGTAAATCAATATCATGTGAAATTAAAAAAATGCCGTCGGCGGGAATAAAGCTCGGTGTATATTCAGGAATACAGCGCGGGTGCCATTTGATTGTAAGCCAAGCCAGCTGTTGACTTAGTTTCTTTTTATACCGTACGGTTTAGCCACGGCATTATTGCGCTATTACTGCCGGGTGTTGGGCATTGTTGGAGCAGTTTAGAGAGGAAAGGTAAGTCTGAGCAAATGAGGCCGTTGTCCACCGGTCCGCCGTACGGTAACTTCGTTCATTCGTCGGATGAAAATCCGGATAACTTTGTGTGCACGCGTTTGCAGAGTATAACATCTTGGTCCGCTGCCAAGTATGTAGTTTTTGTACCTTAACTCGACTCGAATTAATCGTGGCCCCTGAATGGCCTACCGTCGCATACATTTGCCGCAGAGTGCGGTATTAATTACTTGCATCTTTGCACATTTTAATTATTCGTAATGCAATTCTGATACGCACGAATTCATCAGTCGCAAAGGTAAAAGACATACGCATTCATTTTTAAACGTACAGCTGTGTTTATCGTAGAATGCACCGTACTGATCAAAACTGATGTTGCGATCATGCGATATCAAATTTTGATTAAATTTATTTTAAACATTCAATGACTGACAATATTCAAGCTGTGATAATATATACTTTTGCTCTTTTGTATGCCCCTACAGGATAGTCACCATATATACGTTTATGTAGTAAACTATATGATAGCTACAGGCGCAACTATGCAATATGTCTGAAATAACGAGATTAACTTTTTAGAATTTGTAGTGCAATTAATGGTATGTTAAAGCTTCGTGTAAACATTTTAATAAGTATTGGTATTTTGTGAACATCAAACATATGCCATATGAAATATAACGATTAAAGTAACAATATTATAGCGCACTTTGTCACGAAAATACAATAAAGTAACGAACAATATTAAGTTTTGCTTTAAGTACAATAAACCCGCAATGTAAATCTATAAAATGTTAAAACAAGTTTATAAAGACAATTATCTAACTTGTACATAAGTTTTTAAGTGATGTACAAAATTTAAAGACGGCAGGGAAAATGATAAACGGTTGGGGCGTGCGAAAATGATTCTGACGGAAGATGACGTGAAAAGAAACTGTCAAACATTAACAGTCGATTCGAATATAATTGTGCAAATGCTGACTGAGAAATTTAATAAGTCGAAATTTACAATTCATAATATTTTACATGATGATTTGAGCAAGTAAAAGATCTCTTACATATAAAAAATAATATAACCGAATAAAAGCGTAAGATAAAAGCAAACTGTAGAGTTAAGTATATCAATCAAGGTTGCTTTCCAGCAAAGGACACAAATTGACACAAATCGACACAAGTATCACTCTGTTTTTGTTCGATATTCAATAAGCAACAGAGAGAATAATATTTTTGTGTCGCTTGTGTCTTTTGGTGGAAAACTACCCAAATCTAAGACACTATTTTCCTCTCATATCATAGTTCGCCTTAAGAGATAGTCTTATCTCACAGCTTAATAGACAGAGAGAGAGAGAGAGAGAAGAGAGAGAGAGAGAGAGAGAGAGAGAGAGAGAGAGAGAGAGAGAGAGAGAGAGAGAGAGAGAGAGAGAGAGAGAGAGAGAGAGAGAGAGAGAGAGAGAGAGAGAGAGAGAGAGAGAGAGAGAGAGAGAGAGAGAGAGAGAGAGAGAGAGAGAGAGAGAGAGAGAGAGAGAGAGAGAGAGAGAGAGAGAGAGAGAGAATAAGAAGAAGAAGAAGAAGAAAGTGAGAGAAAGCGCTTGGCTTGCTTTTTTTTATCTTATTTGTTATTTAAAACAATTTGTTTCGGTGTTATCTCGAGACGCTCTTTAATCACACGAGTGATGTAACAACGATATTATTCTAAATAATTTTTTGTAGATTAGATTAGTTTATATTTGATAAGAGGTATACTCGAGAAACAGCAGATTCTTCTTTGTTCAAAATTAAAGTGTTATAATTATTCTTTAATAAAGATGCTAAATAAAATCAATGGGATTTTTTTGGAGATTATAAGCAATCAAATTCATGAGAAAACTATAACTAAATCATTAAAATAAAAATAAAGTAAGATAAATTAATAAAATTACGCGTAAAATATACCATGCTCAGTTTTAAAATTACTTGTCTTAAAAGCGTTTTTGTAAGTACTTAAAAAATTTATTAGAATTCTGTTATATTAAGCTCAATCCGAGTTTTTTCCCCTAAAACATCAGTCAAGAAAAATATTTAATTAAATTTGCATTATTACAGCCAGTATAATTTGATAATTCTTATGTCACCCTGTCAACTTATGATGTCGATAGCGTGTTGTGCAACGATAGTGATGAAGATTAGTTAGAATTATGCGTGTCGTGCGGCAGCTAATTTTCCATTATCGAGATAAGTCGTACTATCTAGGATTGTGGTGTGTGTATCAGTCAGTGCACGTGCACTGGCCCTTCTGTGTCCACGTGCGGAATGCACGTGCACCGGCGCGCGATCACGTGCAAAGTAAAAGCGGGCTCAATTATTCGTTACTTACCCTGTTAAACTACCGATGCGATCAAGCGGATTGTGCCCGGTGCCCGTACTATCTTCAGTGGCATCCTCGAGATTCGCACGCGTAACACCGAAGCTCTGCATCTAATCAGTTATTACACTCCAGGCAAACGATAATTACGACATATAATTGATTGCCGGTGCGCGTGACTAGCATCTCGCGAAAACTGACTTGATATCGATGCTATATCAATTTCTCATGTGAATTGCATGTGCACGTGCTCCGCTTTAATTTATATTTATTTTAATCTAAATGTGTAAATTTTTAAAAATTTAAAATATAATGTAAGAAATGTGTGCTGTGACCATTTAGTTCCTTCAATTATTTATTATTATATCGATACCTCTTGACTCATCACGGTAAATTTAATTGAATCTATTTGTAACCTATATTATGTATATAATTTTTTAATTTTAGCCTAGAGATTATAGCTAAATTTGAATTAATCAAAGGTCAAGCTTTGCATAAATCATTAAAGTAAGATAAAGACACTGTCTGACCTCTAGATTAAATCAACAGTAATCGGTTTTTGAGTTAATGCCGTGATAGAACATGTGTACATAACTCATGTTTATGTTATTATATATATTGTTTTATTGCGATTGACATATAATATCAGAGAGAAATTTTACGCAATAATATCTTAGTATCAATTTATAAGAAATCTTGCGTAATGTCGAGCCTTGCTATTTAAATGCATGTGGCGTTTAAATTGCGCTTATTATTTCCAAATAAAAAGAAATTCTCGACCTAATCAAGTTCTAAAAATGACATTCACATCTGCGATAGTTGTATCGTATTTTAGTTGAATTATATCTGATTAAATAAAATAAAAAACAAATGTGTGCAATTATGTTACGCCGCTGATTATATATCCTTTTAATTATGGTCATTTAATTCCTCTTTCAGCGTGATGTTTTCAAAATTGTTTTCAAGTCGATTAGTATCTGGAATACTCACTTTAAAATCCCTCCTTCACTTTTCATACACGTATCGCTGCGAGAAAGTTTACCGTGTATTCCATTGTATTTACTATTCATTCCTCTTTCGATTCACGATAACGTGAAAATATTATCGTCATAATCGGCAAAGTGTCCGGAAATATATAGCGATCACAATTCGTTTGCGTTCCTCCCATTCGCGACTTATGTCTGTATATCACAAAAATCGCGCAATTATACTTGACAATGGCACATAAGCGGTGCAGAAGCATTTGGAATAACTCCACCCAATCGACAGTCCCTGTGCCTCTTGCCCTGGCAGCACCCTCAACAACGACATCGATTCCCCAATGCCAGACCTCGTAGCCGTGACGTAGCAAGAGAAGCTTTGTGGTGGGACCAGAAACTAGTTGTTTTGATCTCTTTCGACGGACATATCGCGACTTCTCCTGCCGTAGTTACACGGCCGACGTCAACGTGGACGAATGCATTTAACGTGCTCTTCTGCTCGTCCATCCGAATTACACACTTCTCACCGCATCCCAGCATCCGTCGAACATCCTCCTGGTTTCTCCCTGGACACATAGACATTTCGCCGCGCCGCACCGACACTCTCCATTGTTCCAGTATTTCGCCGTAAAATCAATCACATCGTCAAGATCTTCCTTCGGAATCCAGATTAATTTTTCTCGTACTAATCGAAGACGCGAGAGCCAATAGTCAAATTTCAATCTCTTGATTCTGCCTGAGAAGTAGCTACATTTAGCTATATTGCCTCGCGAAAACACCATTTGCTTTGCGAAAATTTGCAGAAGATAATCGCCGTTCAGAAAGAAATAGTCTTTGCGCTTTGTACGCGAGAAATCAACTATAAGAATATATGAGAAGCGCCCCTTCCTCGAAGAGAAGTTCGAAGATTCATAAGGTAAGTTTTACTGGTTCTTGCGACGTTCACATTTGTCATTGCTTCTCAAAATACTGTATAAAAGTTATCATTTTTTACGATATTTCCAATCTACTACGTTTTCATCTCTTTTTTAAGAACGCGCAGATAAATTTTTAATAACGCAGATAAATAAGTTGCGCGACCCTGACAGAATTCTGGCGAATGCATCAGTTTGCCATTCAAGCTCGCACAAAGATTGTAGTGTTCTCGTAAAAGAGGCTAAAGTTTTTCTATCCTTTGACTAGAGAAAGCTCGAGGTTAGTCTTATGAAAACGTTACAGTAATTAGACTTATTTTGATTAGTGCTCGAACGTTTATCGGTAAAATCGGTGATAAGTTTTCGGCGCAATGACTAATTGATAAAGCAAAAAATCTTAAAGCAATGTACACGGGCATATTTTAATGGGCGTATACTCTCTTTCTCTTATATATAGTATATCACAAGTGATAACTCGTCTTGTTCCTCTTATTTTATAAGACTAGTGGTGTTATTCAGTTATCGCTAGTCCTGTTGTAGTCCGTAATCTATGCTGTGTCGTTAGTTCTCCTAGCTTCTTAAACGTTAATTATTTATATATCTATTTGATGTTACGTATATACACATTATTAGAGAAACATTTATATGGACGATTTTGCAGATTTGCAGATTGCACGAAATCGATTAAAAAGAGTAAAACATTCGCAGTCACGAGTTTATTAAAGAGCGAGTTTGAAGAAAAAGGTGTCAAACAAAATTTCAAGATAATTTCTTTTGAGGCATTTTTTTACACGTGTCCTTCTGATAAATTTAGATTTTATATGACACGAAACTTTCGAAAGAGGTTATCAATACCAGATAAAAAATTTCTACAAAAAAATATTAAATTTATTAAAATTAAAGTAATATCGTAAAGATATCATATCATTATGTCTGTCATATTATGATATTTTTTGACACTCGCTTCGATCACAATTACATTGCCAATTACTTGTATTTCGATGTCTGGTACTGTTGATGTGACACGGTGACAAGTATATAAGTCGACGTAGCGCGATCCGTCAGAGAAGTGCGAAAGCCCCATATGGCACGCGATTCCATTACGAAATCTCGAAACAAGTACGTAGCTAGACGTATACCTGTGTGTGTGTGTGTGTGTGTGTATATAATGCGGAGTGACGAATTGCCGTCAGATGTTAGTACGATTAAACGCTGACAATTCCTCGTGGTGTATATAGAAGCACGTTTCGACTACATCACAGCGATGATGAGGTCGTTACTCAAATTAAAGGAAGAGCCGGGAAGACACCGAACGACATTCGGGAAACGCGTCGCTCCATGCGAAACGTAATTTATTCGGTTAAGTTTATCGAGTAGTTTACTTAGCAATTGACTTGGCAAATATGTTAGCTTTGCGTGCGCATTTCCGTTGTGTCGCAGTAATTCTTTTATCGTTCTAACGCTAGTGAGTCATAACGATGAAGTTTTCTTTCTTCGTTCTTCGTAGTAATAATTCGTAGTAATAATTCGTAGTAAACATTCGTAGTAATAAATACGCGGTTGTTGTTCAAAGGATATTGCCGGAGAATATCGTAAGATAGAAATGAAAACATTGCTGCAGGGACGCTTGTTCGTGTGAAGCGATTATTATCGCTGATTTTTGCATCTTTTTCGATTGTCACGATGCCCCCGACTCTGCCGCCCCCACTGATCACCTTTGAAAAATGTTTTTTCTGCAATTCGAGAGCGATCGAGCAAAAATGCGCATTTAACGCCAAACTTTCAACGCTTCTTAGTCAGCCATACACTAGCGAGAGATGTGATCGTAATATTATTAACAAATAGTGACGCGAGATAGGTCGCGAATGAAAAATTTCGACGAGATTATCGCGGTCAAAGGATCCACTAGCGATGACGGCGCGTGCAACATGACGCGACAGTCGGGCCACAGACGGAAGCAAGGACCGTAGATTTACGCCGGCTCGGTTAGCAAAATAAAACGATTATGCCATCTGCAACCGTCTAACGCGATAACAACACCGTTATTGATTTTACTGCGCGATGATTACACGGCATCTTTTTCACTCTCTATGTACGATTTGTTTTTATAAATTCTTATTCGAAATTCTTGGTATGATTCATTATATTTATCAATATTAGCGTTTACGAGGAATGTTCGGCAATTAGTAAATTTAAAAACTTTTTGCAAAGTATAAAATAGCTCAACCACAATTCATAATTGCGATTTATAAATTTTAATAACTGTAAATAATTATTATTTTTTGTTATGCGAAAAAGTGATTTATTGGGTAAAACGATTCTTCGTGTACCATATTTGTAAAAAACATTTTTACAAATACAAATATGGTACCGGTATTATGTAAAAAAAACATTTAAACATTTATGAAAAAAACTGAGAAATTCGATTATTGTTTTTAATATTTTTAATGCCACATTTTAATAATATGCACTTTATATGCATACTACTAAATTTAATTATAGGTTAATCTTCTAGAATACCAATAATTAATAAAATAAGAATTCTTCGTTAAATTCGCATTATGATTTACGAGCAAATTGCATCTTGCACTTAAAGATAAACTTAATGCTATTATGAAACTAGGGTATCCAAATGCACATTCCTTTAATGCGCTTGAAGAACTCCTTCGTAATTTCCCGGTCTGCATAATTGCGATCTTCACTTAATAGCATCGCGAGGGCGTTATCTTTCTAACGTACAGTTTGCAATAATAATTTTGAATTGCGAGAAAAACGACAGGATAAAAGAAGGCGCGTCACAAAGTAGTCGAGATAAAAAAAAGAGTGCAAAATATCTTTTATCAAACTTGATTTTTCTTTTTCGTTACATGACGGATTTGTCTATTTTGTTCTTTATTTTTGCTTTTCTTGTATCCATAATCGTATTATTTTGTACATGATAACAGGCGCTTATCATTGTTAACAGTTCTATTTCTATTCTAGCGCTTCGTTATTATATTATTCAAACCAGCGCGCATCGTCTAGCATGCTTCCATTTAACCGAGACGCGATGCGTCGACGTGCGCGGTTTAATTGCCGGAATTAATAATCCATTACAATGCAGTAGGTATTTATTATACCTGATGAGTTACGTGATACACAATTCTGCGAATATTCAAAATGGATTTTACGTTCCTCTTCTCAACATCTCTTTTATAATGAAGAGGGATTACAAATTATATAGATAATAACAACTGCGCATTAATTGGAAATATGTGCATTGCAGATTATTTATTAGGGTCAGCTGAAGTGAAATGATAGGATTTAATCCATTGACATTGTAAATTGCTACAATACAATTTATATCTCGAAATTCCATAAAACATTTGTAATAAATCACTGCAAAATATTTTACAGTTTTACGATTTTTCAGTATTGTATCTGCGTGGCTAATAATTTCTGACAACCATGAAGACTTTCTTGGAATTATTTTTGCTTTCTTTTACGTTACAAACATTCATCGTCGTAGGAAACGCACACCCTCTCACCGAGTACAAAGAAGATTTCTTAAAAGATAATAATGAAATGAAAAGCTTAAGCATTACGAAAAACAATACAGCCTCATCAATTACACCTTACATATGCGTTTATATACCGTCTGATCTGGATCGCTGCGACTTCGTTGGGTAAGTAACAGAAAAATGAAGGATTTAGATGATTTAGAGAAGCTAGGATTTTTTTAAGGTTCAATTAATTTCTTAAAAATTCACTTTTTCATAAATAACATTTTCATCCATGAAAATTTAATTTCAGTCATCATAAATCTAGTGAAAATCTTTGGAACTTGACACACAAACTGTCGGAAAAGAAAAAGTGCAAGCTGTTAAAGAGTAACAAAAAATACTTATCACATTCGACGTTCGTTCCAGAAATGAAAAAAGTTCGTACGCAAAAGTCCATAATAATATATGAAATACAAAGATGCGTGCCATCAAGGTAAGAATAACCGAGTTTAGCAAGTAAGGATAGTCTTTGCAAATAATTATGTGTCATGCATGATCTCGTAATAATGACGTGAAAAATAGTGTTAATAAATCAAGTATAATAAATCAAGATTAATGAAGAAAATTAAAAAATAAATATTACTTTAAACTGTTTATTTTACAGATTGCCATTTAATTTACCTTGGTGTACAGATGAAGAGTTTTCAAATAAGAAGAGCGAGATCCGAAAGCTTTATCCTTTCGCGATAGGTTTTTCAAAAGCAACACACGAATTTCCGAAGCACGATTTTTCTAAACGCCGAAATTTGTAATAAGGGCGAAATCTGTGCGGAGCGCTTTAAACGTTCGATGCGGACGACAAGGCAATCCGCGCTAATTGCTGGAAACGGATCATTTTTATTAATCTTTATTATATTTTTTAAATTTTTTTACACCGATAATTTTTATTTGAGAATATAAATCGGAAAAATGTGTTAACCACATATATGTGCCATATAGTCCACGCCAATAACCTTCGCTGAACACATATATGTGTCCACATAGCACTCAAAGAGTTAATCGTAAAAATGATATCAATAACGTGATTGCTGATGATTGCGCGTGCAATCGTTCAATGTAAACAGCCTTAATATTAATAATAAATATCGTTATATATAAATATAGTTATAACTATATATATAAGTAAATATATATAGTTATTAATAAAATTTTTATAATTATCACAAAACATTTTCTTTTTTGTAACACAAAAACTAACAATGATACAATAGATAACTAATTTTTTATTTTTTTTTAACATACTTTCATCGAGTGATTATAATAAAATTCATAGTAATGCTTTCCATTTCATTAATAATTAATTTGGATTTTATACTAAGATCCTGTATATATTACAACTTTACTTTACAGAAAACGTACGTCTTTAATTTCTTGCAGAATGGTAAAACCATCGCTGTGTTCTCAGTAATGTTCTTTCCTTGTTTATTAAATGTTACCAAAAATAATAGTAATATAGCAATAAATACGCAATACATTTAAAAACAATATTAGAACCTAATGAAACAACTGTCTATTTAATAAGAAAAAGTGTCGAGGAAAAAAGGTCGATCAAAGAATTCGCGGTGATTTGTGGAGAATGTCGCACGAGCACGACGATTTGGAGAGGACATACATCGAATGCTTCTGAGATATATAAGGCCATTTACGTTCACAAGTCGATGAAGGCGAGAATGACCAACGATACGCAATAAAGGAAACGTGTGAGATATCTTATAGCGCACCACCGATTTTTATGAGCATCGACATCGCTATTATAAATGACACACATGCTAAGAAAACCGTTGTTACATAAAGTACCGATCGTGGTAAAAATTTTCGATGGTTTCTAAAAGATCGAAACAAGAGTGCATAATTCTTATTTAAAAAATACTTTCTTCTATAATTAGCTCCAAAAGAAATCAATTTTATATTTTATTTTCATTTTTCTATTGCCGTGTTTATTTAAGAAAATATATCGGGAAATACGTATTTCCTGAAATAGATGCATTTTCTCTAAATAGATACGATAGATATTTTTATTGATAATAAATATCATGTCATCAGGAATATGCTGATAACTAGTTGAATCATTAAATTTTTCTGAATTTCTCAACTTCAGTTATGTAAAATGCTACGCAGAGAAAATTTTATATATAAATTTATATATAAAAAATTACTATGCACGGCAGTAGTCGCAGACTGAAAATTTGTACTATTTTCACATGTGAAAAACACAGTAAAAATTTATATCATTCCTTCGTGATCCGCAATTATTACCGTACATAGTAATTTTTGATATAAAATTTTCTCTCTACTAAACATACAAGCGCGCGCTACACGCGCGCCATTTATTTTTTTAATCACAAAGAAATATAAAATATGTACAACTGTCAAAAACTTTGCAATAACAGCCTTCTCACGATACGAATCGAGCGCAATAAAAGAATCAATCGACATTGCGGAAAAACGGCAATAATGAACTTCGATACTATTGAGATATCGAATAACATGATTTTTTTAAAGAGCGGATATGCTATAGCTATAATTATCGTTTTTACGTCGTTTTCATACAAGCTAACTTCTCATCTGAAGAAAATATGTATTTAATGTAAATAGATTTAAATAATAAAAAAAGCTATAATTAAAATTGAACTTGACCTTCGCTATCTAATGCATATTATCGTCTGTTTAGCTAAAATTATTTTCACGAAGTAATAGAAACGCATAACTTCTTGAATAATGAAAATAATGAAATTACAATCATATAATAATTATTTCCAAAATAATTATTTTTAATTGTATGATAGTAATTAAAAAAAATCAAATTAGTAGTTTAGCTTTTCTTAATATACATAAATTTCCGGGTCCGGAAAATTTTATTTAGCACATATAATATCAATATAATGCTACTTGTTTATTTGATTGCATATATTTTTCACCTCTGAATTTACTGGATGCTTCAGATGTCTTCTTTTCGGCTGTGCGAATTCTTCTTCTTAGATCGGTAAGTATCTGATTTCATCAAAAGTTTGTCGAACAGATTAAATTTCTTGGATAGCAAGAAGTCTATAAAAAAAGTCCATAAAAGGCGCGTGAAAGAACTCTTTCATTCTAGCATCGATTAATAAAACGCATTAATAACGCAAATTGTTCTAAATTGTTCCAGAATGTTACACTTGTTCGATATTTGGAACGGTTACTGTCGATTTGATAGAAAATAATTCGTGATTAATTCAATTGATTTATTAGTTTTAAATGAAGTAACTTGTGGTTAGCGATATGAATGGCTTTTCTGTTAAAAAGTAGAATCTTGTCAGAAGCTTACGGATTTATGCTTTCCGGTTGTCGATTCGACTGTTTGAACTTCGTGCAATGTGTAATATAAATTAATTTTCCATCATCACGGATTTAACGATCTTCGGTGTAAAACTCGTTTGATAATTCGCGCAAAAGCACTCCAATGTCGAACCAACATTCCTGCGGTCACTGACAAACCAAATATCTTTGTAACGTATATTTGTGATGGTTTCGTACTCGTCGGAACACCAAGAATATCATGAATTGACCTGGTCAAGCGTCTCTGTCTAACGATTCGCCGCTGCTGTTCGGCGTTCCATTCTGACCTTTTGGCGCGCAATTTCGAGGTCCTGTCGGGGTTCGCCAATTCTCCATAGTCGTCGATTACTAACTCCGAGGATTTGAACGACGGCAACGTGTCGACAACTTTAGCAGACAATATCTTGGTGCCGCTAACGATCCTTTCCCCGTTGCCCTTCGAGGTTTCGCCTATCTCCAGTTTAATTGGTTTCGTTTAGCCGGACTCGTCCTCGTTAAGTCTCTTCGCACTTCAATGCTCGTATTCATCAGAGGATTTTCTCAGAACGAAATACGAAATAAAACATTCTTCCTGAATATAGAGAAGACCGATTGACGGTATGTAGCGACTTATCTGCGCTTCCTTCTGGAGAGCTCAATTTCCTTTCACAAAGTAACGAGTCAAATCTGCGAATGTATTCTAGGAAAAATTTAGAGTATGTTATCACAATAAACAGCTCTTCACTGTCGACTTCTTGAGATTGTGCGCAGTTGATGAAACACTATAACATTATTTTTTCTAATTTCTCGATCGTGACACGATTTAAAATAAACTGAATCCTCTTAGAATGTGTAGAGATTTTTAGTTTGGAGACCACAGAAAAATAAAATAAATTAAGAAATATAATAGTAGTGTATATTGCTAATGATATGGAAATCCTTGGTAGAAATTGGATCGGATTAAATAACTGCGTTTAGCATGTTCATCGCACTAATCGCTATCGGTTAATGTCGCGTTAGTTATTATAGAGAAATTTTACACGACCTGAGGTCTTTGAACTGTGAATGTATTAAATGATAGATATTTAAAATATTTGAGTTTTTTCGCTGCCACAGTATTCTAAATGAAAGATATGGACATAATATATAGCCTGATCAGCAATGTAAGTAATTATTTTCTAAATATGGAATCTAACATAACGAGTAGATATAATGCACTAAAAGTGCGCGCACTCGTCCTTATTTTACTATAATTTCTATTTCATTAAAATAATACGCAAACAAATGATCAAATAGCATATAATAATACTTTCTACATATCTTTCCATCAATAAATTTGATAAAGTTTAACCATCTTTCACAAATTTTTCTAATTAGATAAATCATCTCGCGCAAAACTCGAATTAACTTTCCTCGCTTTCATGATTTCTACTGATTAAGAGTGTCTGTTGAATAATACGCAATAGATTCTCGTACTCTCATGTAATTTATACCATTGATTAACACACAAATATATAGAATTAAATGCAGTAAAAGTTGATAATCCTGGGTACACCAAGTTAGCGTGTAAAGTTTTCCCGAGAATGCATTCTCAAAAGATGAAAGAGAAACGAACAAGAAGAGAACCAACGTTTCGGAGCGGGACGAAGAATGGGCATATAGGCGGCGGAGAAAGAGACGCCGATTGAGGATATCGCGAAGCGGAGGAAGAAAAGGAGGAAAAGAAAGTCGAGAGGTCTCGTGCACACCTGGAAAAGATCACTCGAGAGAGACAGAGAAAGAGAG